CCGAAGAAGTGTTAAAAGCTATGTGAGAGGTGGCCTCCAGGGAATTCAAGGGGAATGAAAGAGGAATATTTCTAATAAGGTACCGACTGGCGACTGCCGCCAGCCACTTGACAGTCCAATCAGGTCGCTCTTGGGGAGATGAATGGCAGGCCTTGCAGGTCTATCAACTTGAATGTATCACTTCGACTGCTAGTTTTGCCCCTGGCGGGAGGTTCAGCCTTCTGTATCAGAGGCGTGGGAGCAAGTACCTGCCCACAAGAGGCCTGAGATGACTCTTCAGCAGAGCCTGCCGTGAGGTAGCGATGAAAACAAAGAGCTCTACAGAGCTCTGCGAAAAAAAAACAACCCTCCTCAGTTAGTCATCATTCAAGTGTTCTTCACGCTAGCCTTTAGGTGCATTTCAATACAGGACTGCTTTATAAATCTGCAGTTTATTACAACTGTCTTCAGCCTGTTGCTGACTCCATGTGGGAGCAGAAAGAAACCCCGTTAACCTGCTGCGACAGAGGAATTGTCACGTGAAAACCTTGCGAGAAGTCATTCCCATCGCAAATGAATGTCAGCAACTCAGTCAAGCCGTCGATCCCTATGACACATAACCCCACAGCTTTTATCTGCTGTAGAATAGTCGAGGTCTCCAAACCAAGCCCAGAAACAACATCGGACTGACAGAACCGTGGTCTATAATTTATCCAGAGTAAGAACTGCGTCAATTTATTTGTTTTGTACCAGGCTCAAAAGGGGACTTTGAAACACTGATTGTGACCCAGAAATATTTTCAGCGCAGCAATTGCGACTGGCTCACAAATGGCACTTTTGGCACTGATTAAGACATGCGAGTAAAATCATGCTAAATAACAGTTCAACCGTAATTTCATCATTTCCCCTGTTTTGAATAAGTGGAACAGACTCAAAGTAAAGTCACTGTCTGACAATGCTTACTCGCCCTTTTTCCTGTCAAACGCTCTCTGTGTTCGATGGTAAAAAGAAGGACGAACCCCAAAAGAGAATAAAACAATAGCTGAAAATAATTTAAGACATTATTTTAATCATTCTTTTTCTCTTCTGAGGTCCTAACAAGACTCTGGCTTTTGCTAGGAATTTAAATCAATTTTGAAAAAATATGTAACTGCAGACAGTTTGACCTGACAACTTATTTATTTATTTATTTAGTGGCGTGCTGTCGGTTCCAGTTTTGCTCAAGTGAGAACCGACTCAACATTCCTGGGCCTGGCCAGCGCTATTGTTGCCGGGTTGGCCTGGGCATTGGCAGACACTCCGCCGGCGACTGCGGCGGCAAGCGACTGGATCCATGGCTTGAAACCAACGCGCTACAATCAACAGGCAAAAAGTTACTCTGGTCCACTGCTTTTTCTAGTATAGAGTGCAACACTGAGTAGACACTTAAAATTTCTTCATTTTTAATTTAAGGCAATACTGACTGTTCCGTTATTGAAAACTAAAACTCTGGCTGTCCCACTACCAGACCGGAAATATGTTCCACAAGAGCAGTCACCAAGAAGCTGCCTTTCTGTGACAGACTAAGAGTGTCCTCTATACCTTTCTGTCTCCCTATTACACACGCTGCCAAGAGACAGGAAGTCAAGCAGAACACACGGCAGGCTACCAAAAAGCCCTAATCCTGCAAGCATTTTCATCTCTTTGTGCTTTTATCATTCCGCTTTAATAACTGTGCAACCTAAATGCAACCAGATAGAAAGGCACAAATTTGCATCGATATTCAACAGGAGAAAATTTTCAATCATTTCAATCAATAGTGGACTTTTGATGAAATGCAATTGTTGCTTGCATTTGATTGAGGACATGAACATGCTTAAGGACTATTAATTAGAATTCCTTGTCTGAACTTTAAATAGAGGAGGCATTTCAAAAATTCTTAACCAAAGGCTTTCTTTCTTTTTTACTGGCTGAGCTCCACAAAATATGTATGGCCCTCCGTGGTCTGTCATATTTGCTGGATATAACTTTAATCTGTCGCTGCCTGTTTCCCATTGGCTGCGTCAGCTTCCTTGATGCCATTAGCCACGCATTCCGGATGGTCTCCACGCGGATTGCCGGCGCACACATTACACAAACACGGCCGCCTTGCACCCGCAGCTCATGAAAGGAGACCTCTCCAGTTTAATTAAAGCGGGGGAGTTCTCACTCTCCCCAAAACCTCTGGGGTCAAAATGCTGCCCACAAAAGCATTAAGTCACATCGGCTTCGAGCAGCACATGCTACATGTTACACAACTAAATCATCTCTGTGTCTCCATTTGACTGCTATTTCTAATGCAGTAAATCAGAATTGCATCTCAAGCAGGAGATAAATGACATTGTTTTGGGCAAAGCTGAAATGTAAGCCATAATATCAGGTATTATGTCTGATTAGACTGAAGAGTAGACTTCTGCACGAGACCCCTTGACTTGACTTGCTCCTGCGCTCTCATGCCCTCTTGTGGCAAAACCAGCAAACTTGTCATGCAATGGTCTACAGCCAAATACACGGAGACAACAACCATACTCTGATGAATCTGTCATTTACCCATAAATTCATCCCTAATATCTGCTTTACATTTTAGGGGGAAAAGCAGTGTATTTCACTCACATGCAAATTAACCTTACCCAGAATGCCTTGTTCTTTAAGGCTTGTGAGCGGACAAATGGGTACTTTTTGTTGTGTCCCATATTATGTTTTTTAATGTGTTCTGGTTAAGGGCAATCTAACAAGACAACGTTTTTCATGGGCAAAGAAACCACAACCATCATAGTGTTAAACACTATTCATACTTTAACTTGCGATATAATTATCTGCAAATTTCTATTTGCATTTCCGTTTTAAATCTACTCTTTATCCATACGTCTAGCTACTTATTTAGTCTACAGTCTTGGCTATTTACATGTTACTTTGAATTGAATATTTTGGAGTGATTCATCTCAATGCAGCAGAGTCAGCAGTAAGTTTGTTGACTGTCTAACCAGCCACAAAACAAGACAAGAGCAGGGTCAAGTGTACACTACTGAGTAAAGGGAAAAAAAAGTTCAAAGGTTTTACCAGTTCCATATGGCCATCTTCTGTGTTTAAATAGATCTGTGTGCACTGCTTTCCAAAATGCCTTGTCTTACTCTGTTAACAGAATGCTTTACTACCAGCATCGACCTTAGCATGGCGCCAAATAGAACTGAAAACAGATACATGACAAAGCGAGTGATGTCAGTGAGAGCGGGACGGGACAAAGGCACGGAGCAACGTCGATGGAGCAGCTCGCAGGCCTGCTAACGGCAGACAGAAGAACACACACCTCACAGATATACCCTCTCAGCACCCCCCCTCCCCCCCATCCCATCCCATCCCATTTCTGATTAATTACATTTTGCACATTTCTAACTTCCCTTCTTGATATATTATATTTTTTCTAGACTTGGGTGGTATTATGGGAAAACGGTGTAGCACAGTATGGGGGCTGGGGGGCAAGAGCGTAACTTTGGCTGGAACATTGGGGGGGTTGAGGTCTCCACCCATTACAGGGGAAACATGATTATTGGGGGGGTTGTATTAGCTGGTTTTTATTTATTATGGGGCAACAACCCCCCCATCCGCCCCATAATTTACACCCATGGTGGGGGGGGTCCACCATGATAAAAATTGCTTGGATAATAGTATCGTGGGGCCCCCATGCACGTTTGGCGAATACTGGAGTATGTGCAGATCTTATGACAGTATGAAAGATTAGATAGTGGCCAAGCCTAATATTCCACAAATATAAATGCCAATGGCAAGCTCAATAGTAATGCTAAAAATTAAACTGAGTGCTTCAGATAACTGTGAGGTTAAATAAATGACCTCATTTGCAGTGCAGCTGGTGTCTCCAAAGCGCACGCAGTGTGGGACTGTGTGGATGTCTGTGCACTGCGGCGCACTGGCATGCCATCCGGGGTGGCCCCTGCCATGTGCCCTGTGCTGCCTGGGGCAGGCTCCAGGCTACCAACCGCCTCCCTGTGCTGCCTGAGACAGGCTCCAGGCTACCGACCGCCTCCCTGTGCTGCCTGGGACAGGCTCCAGGCTACTGCCTCCCTGTGCTGCCTGGGACAGGCTCCAGGCTACTGCCTCCCTGTGCTGGATATGCAGCTATGGAAAATGGGAGGATGGAAAATCTAATGCAGAGCTCAGTCTTGTCTAGCAATGCTAGCATACTGTAAACCTGGGGTGTCAGGCTGCTAATTAATGAACAAGTTCAACGAAAGGTCTAAAATATGGCCACATGGGATATAAATTAATTAACTTGCTTATGCTCTTGGCATTAATGAAAAAGACTAGAACTGGATACCTTTGGATTTAACAATTACCAAAAAATTAAAAAACATTAAAGTAGTACATTTCATATAAAAGTATTAATTAATATGCAACCACTTCTAAAATAATTGACAATACATGTTGGTTGTGTAAGAGACCCTCTCCTTTCGTTTTCAGTTCAGTAGATTGTACGGTGGTTAAGGAACTGGACATTTCAGTAAGACTTTAATGCACAAACGAGAATTGCTGAGAAGTGCCTCTGGGTATTCACTGCGATTAACGACTACAGCAGTAACACAAGCACTGCATTAAATTGGTCGACCAAAATTTAATATGATTTTACAGATTTCACACACGTCTTTTTTTTCTCGCTACTCAGAAGTGCCAGTCAACAGAAATATTTACCAATTTACTTTAGAAATTTGATTTCCCTGACCTTGTTAATGAATCAGCCTTTCGTTCTTTTCAGCACCTCAGAGATTTGCCGAATACGGGATGTAAGTTAACAAATTACCTCAAAAAGTAAACTACCCATATGTCATACGCAAAGTTTGTCTATACGTGGTTAAGCCACTGTAACAGGTTTTACTTTCTAAAAAAGACTCTACATCCACTATAAAACAACAATCTTGCAACACCACACCACTCAAGGTTTTACTCAACAAACCGCTACCGCCTTTGGATGAACTGTCGACTTTTGATGACGTACTTCCATTCAGCACCGCTCCGCTTCCGGCAATTGCACGTGGCTGGTGACAGAGCTGAAGAGTAGAAGATCGGGTGGAGTAAATAACTTTAGTTCTTGAAATTCTCATCGCGAGTTGCGGATCAAGACCTGACAAAATGGTGAAGCCGCGGTTTAAGGGGAAAAGCACAATAAACCCCTCGTCCTCCAGCTCGAACCCAGGTAAGATAGATGTGCTAGTGGTCTGTTTACGATATCGTTTTTATCTGACTGCTACTGAGAAACGCTTTTCTGCAATTTCCAGAACTGCCATATGCAACGCTACATTTACTCAAAATATCGTTTGCTCTGTAAAAAGGCTGGATTGTAAACTTTATACGACTCGAGTACATATTCCGTGTTATCTCGGGTTCAAGTGAAATTGGTATCTGATCTCTAAGTTTTCGGCTCCTTACCTGTTCTGTACATCCTTCTGCCCGATGTTTGACAATTAGGTTGGGGAAAAGCAGTAAATTAAGTGTAGTTATTGCTTCGTTTCCTAAACAGTTTGACGCGAGTACGTGCAAAACATTTTCCACCCCGCAGTTGACTTCTGTTGATCTGATTTGAGTGCGATTGTAACCAAGCACACTTCGACATTAAGTCAGCCAGCCGGTGGAAAAAATGAAGTCTGTTGTGCTCTCAGTAAACAGAAGTATCCTGATACACACTACGAATGTCAACTTAACGTCCATATCGACCTTAGCGAGTAGAAACACCGGCTGGAAGGTTAATTTGTTTCTTTGATGCATATATTTAAGATCGACTGAAGGGTTCTGGAGGAAGCAACATGAGGGACCGGGCAACAATAAAACGTTTGAACATGTACAGACAGAAACAGCGCTGGTAAGTGTCGACTGTCACATGGTCTGCAAGCCGTACAAAAATATCCTCTCCATCCAGGCTGTTGTTTGACAAGGCTTCCACTGCACAGTGTCTTATAATGCCGCAATTGCTCAGTGGAAAGCAGTTTAACATTAAAGAGATTTCAAACCTGCTGTCACGTCTGGACAGATGTATAGATGCTGGCCAGAAGTCATTAGATGAGGTGGCGTGGAGGCTTTCTGTGTGAGGATTTCACCTATTGTGCTCTCACCACTAACAGCAACAACAGGGGGAAGGTGATCAGACCACTGCAGTTCCAGTCCACAGTTTCACCTGGCACTGTGGCGCGAGTGGAGCCCAACATAAAATGGTTTGGTGAGTGTCTGCATTTGAGACCTGCTTACTTCTTGCAAGAGGCTGTAAATGCTAATAATAACTATAAGAACTATAATCTTACTGGAATTAAAATGTAGAGGATGCTGGTCAGACGAGTAATAATAGCATTTATTACCTTATACGGTAAAGAAAGCAGGGTCATACAGTCACTGGAGCAAGGACCTCGATCAAGGTCCCAACGATGAAACCACTCTGCTGCCTGGGATTTGAACCAGCAACCTTCTCATCACAGTCACAGTGTCTTGACCTGCTGAGGCATATGGTGGGCCTAAAGTTCCATCATCATAATGTGACGTTGTGGAGATAAATGGCTCTCGTGTTTTAGTTGGGTCATGTAGAAATAAAATGTCCACAGTGCCCACAAATGGAAGGTTGCTTGTCTCTGCCTTTGTCCTTATTGGCCCGTAGCTTCAGAGCAGCTTGACACCTTGAGGGAACTAAAAAGTATTTTGAGGTTCCCCAAGTATGACTGTTGTCGATGATCATGGATTGTCCTGCCAGGCAAAAAGGCTTCCCACCAGTCGGCTGATAAATAAAACCGATTGAACTAAATGCCTGACATCGAATTCTTTGGAAAGTCGAGAGGTTCATATTCCTGTCCCACTAGGCCATGATTGTCCCACATACTGTCAGGTGACTGCTGGTTGTCAGAAATGTCACTCTGTGTTCCCGGTGGATATGATACTATTGGCCCCTGAAGTTGAGTGAAATTGTTTTTGTCCCTGAAATAATGACACAATAAAGGTGAGGTGATCAGTGGGTTTTCCATTCCTGACTTCTCCCCCAACCCTTTTCATGTCTAATAAGTTCTCACTCTGTCATCTAATGATCTCGCCCCACTAAATGCATCTCCTCTGTCTCTGTAGCCAACACTCGTGTCATCAAGCAGTCATCGCTGCAGATGTTCCAGGAGGAGATGGGAGCAGTGCAGAAGGACCCCTATCGGGTGGTGATGAGGCAGAGCAAGCTGCCCATGTCTCTCCTGTATGACCGGGTCAAGGCCCATGTGAGTTGAAGAGATGGCATTTTAAAGTTGGTTCATTTGACCTCTGCTCTTAGCATCTCATTTACATTTGACTGCAAGCTCTACTCAGCTTGCCCAGCAAACACACATTGTCTCTGAGCCTCTTCCCACCTCTAATGCTCATCAGATTGCTTTCTACATCCTGACTGAAGAGGAGCGAACTCTCTTATGCTTCCTTGTTAGCAAATGCCAACCCTCTTTCTGGGCTTTAATGCCCTCTAGGAGGGAAATTTCTGTAGAACATCTAGTTTGGAAATGTTCTTCAAGCTTTCAGACTCACTGCAAGCAGTGGCTCCCAGATACACCAACACCGGTGACCAGTGAAGCTGCACAGGGGCAAAGTCCAGAGCTGCTGTGGGTCCTACAGATCCGCCGGGTCTCTGGGGAGTTTGAAGGTCTATGAGTTCATGATTTGTTGTGATTATAGAGAGGGAGGGCAGGTAGCGTGAGAAATCCACTTGTTCTTGGTTATATTTTTATTTTACTGCTTTAGGATGGTGGGGGGAAAAGAGAACCATATGTTTTGGGAGAACTTGGCTGTGGTTGGTGTGTTTGAGCACGTTGGCATGCGTCAGTTGTAGAAAATAAGAGAGGGGGAGGGAGACCGAGAAAAACAAACGCAGCGGCACTCGAGCGTTCTATTCGCCTTGTACTCCTCAGGACGCATTGTTGACTTGCTCGTGCTTGCCTTGTTTTTTATCCTCCTCTAAACTGTTCCACATGCGCGAGAGACCTCGCAGGGCTTCCCGAGAGATGGATGGATGACCCTTCTTTTGCGTTTTTCACTTTCCTTTTCATTCCTTTGTTCTCTCTCTCTTCCTTTTTGTTTATAGACGTTAAGGCTCATTGGGGCCCGCGCCCCCTGCCAACAGGGTCTCAGCTTATCCAGATTAGTGTTATTAATTCACTTTTAATTGGTTATAAATCGTCGTGGGGCGGTAATCTGTCCGAGGAAACGACGTGAAAATTACAGCTTTGTAGGTCTCCCTCGGCGTTGGCAGCGGTTCAGTCCCGTTTCCAAAGGTGTGTCTCTGTTTACGTTATTCTGACATTCCCTTCTTAAACCGAGTCGTCGGGACCCCTGCCCTCCTCTGTTACGAAGACCGTAATTCAGTGGGTTTTTTTAAGTGCATAGATGAGAAGAGCATGTGTAGGTCATCTGTGGCAAATTTGGGTCATTCCAAGTCTTGACCCAGGTGCCACCTTTTGGCGTGTGGATCAGAGGGGGACTGAGAAAGGATTGGTCCACTTAACCTCACATGTCAGGGGTGGCCGGCCTGCCTGTTGGTCATCGGGGTCCTTGTCTGTAGAGGGATGGGCACTGGCATTCAAAGAATGACCGAGGCAGAGTGTGGGAATGGTCAGAGTTAGTGCCACTGTTGTGTCTACCACTTGGAGGGCTGAGGAAGACTTGGTACAGATGAAGAAAGGGCTTCATGCAGTTTGCTGAGATTATCTTTGTCCTCACTCTCAGCTCTGGGATGCTGTTCTGAGGATTCCCGTGTGGGGCAGGGATGCCGATTTAAATGCACTTCATACTTAAGGGGAAGTGGAATTTGGGAATAAGCACTAATTCACTAGTTTACTTAATTCTAAAATAAAGTGTAAAAGTCGAACGGGAGGTGAATTGTAGAAACAGGTGGGCCAGTATCTTTTTTTTTTTTTTTCGTTCTAAGTACAAAACTGTTCCCAGAACCTCCTTGCAGACTGTCCCACGGCCTGAAAACATAAGTGTTATTGCTTTTGACAAGATCTGTAAATAGTTTACTCATTAAGCATGTTGCAACGCATGCGTGGCAGCCTTGTCAGTGCAGGGCAGTTTAACCATCTTCATCCGGCTGGCCTGGGCAAGGCCGTCTGTTCGCCCTCGCTGGGGTGTGCATGGGCAGCCGCGGTTTGCCTCTGCTTCTTGGTTCGTTTTCGCTTGGGAGGGCATCCCCTTCTCGTGCCTAGTGCTACAGACAGTTTGTCATAATGCCGGCTATATACTTTAATGGGTTTAGACCTGGACACTCCAAATCATTAAAACCGCGCTAGCCCCACCCCCCCAGTCTAACTTCCCCGCTTGCTGCTCCCCGCCATGAGGGGATTTGCTCCAGCTGCGGCCGCTCCAAACCGGTGATTTTTGAGTTATTGCTGGTTCTTGAGAGACATTATTTTTACGGCGTCCAAAGCCGTGCTTGTTAATCCAGCAGCGGGGCGCCGTAAATCTGCGCAAATGCGCCCATGCCCCCACACGCCCACACCCCAGCCCACCCCACTTTGGTCCCGCGGCTTATTCCCGGCTCGATCACTGGGGTCTCGTGCCCCATTTTAATCGAGAGCGGCTAATGGATGTCAGACACGCGGCCTCCACAGCGCCACCCCGTGGCGTGCCTGGGTGACGCGACCAGTCTCTACCGGTCGATTTTGCTCTCCACTCTGGTTCGGGGGCTTTCTGGACCAGACCGGTACTGACACTTGGGGTTTCCTCCTCATTTTCATTCTCGGCGGCAGAGTGCCAAGGTGCACATCCTGGACACGGAGACGTTCGAGACGACGTTCGGGCCTAAAGCACAGCGGAAGAGGCCCAGCCTGAGCGTGGGTGATGTGAAGGACCTGGCCGAGAAGGCAGAGGCCGAGGCTCTCGGCTACTGTGCCGAAAAGGACCGGGACCTCGTCACGGAGGACACCGGAGTCAGGTGGGCTGGCAGTGTCAGGTGGATGTGCTGGTGAAGATATGCTGCTCTCTGGCTGTGTGTGGTCTTTATTTATCATCATAATAAAAATGTAGCCCTCAGACCTCCAATGAAACAAGATGAAGAAAAAAAACTTTGACAAGAAAGCTTTCACAAGCCGATGATGTAGTATAATGTCGTCTTCTAAACAGGAATGAGGCACGTGAGGAGATTTTCAAGAAGGGCCAGTCCAAGAGGATATGGGGTGAACTCTACAAGGTACATTTCCCTTCGTCTCTGATGCTCTGTGCCATGCTGTAGAGGAAGAGGACTCGCTTTCAGTAGGTCAGTGTTTCCCAGCCTAGTCTTCAGGGACCCACAGAAAGTCCACCTTTTTCCTCTGCTGGGAGGGAGCAGAAATGTGGACTGTTTGTGGGGCCCCCGAGGACAGGGTTGTTGTATTGGCCTGATGGATGGTGTGACTTCAAGATTTCCAGACCTAATCTTCAACCTTATTATGACTGATCTTTGTTGGCTTCTTTGCATGATGGCAGATAGAAACAAATGTTCTTGTTACTCAAGGTCTCCAACATCGCTTCCTCTGGGCTGTCTGCAGGTGATAGATTCTTCAGACGTGATTATCCAGGTGCTGGACGCTCGGGACCCAATGGGCACCAGGTCCCAGAGCATCGAGACCTACATGAAGAAGGAGAAGCCCTGGAAGCACCTAATCTTCGTGCTCAACAAATGTGACCTCATCCCCACCTGGGTAACGGTATGTCACCTTTGCGGCCCCTTCAATGCTGACTGCCTGGTTTCCATGAGGAGCAGCTCTCATAGTTTTTCTCCAGGAGCTGGAGACCTAGAGTTGAGGTGGAAGCCTGCAAAAGGCGGTTATCCACTGAAGTGTTTCTCAGAACCTTGCTGATTCTAGACCATCTCCTGACATGGGTGTTCATGCGGTTGTCTTTGAGTGTCACTGGGCTGGTGCAAAAATAACACACAAATAGTGTCTTATGTTGGTTCTATATAAGCTGTGGGCCATGGGCTCTCGCGCAAAAGAAACTGTCTGGTGTTTTCATATGAATGAGCTTTTCTAGGTGGGGTGCCACGCTATGGGAGAAATCCCTGCTGTTTTTTAATAACTGGAAAATGTATGTAGTTTTGAAGGGGTGAAGTCCGTCCAGATTAACTGGTTTTTTATCGTCAGGATATCTTATTTTAAGTCTCTTCAAGCTGTTACGGGTCCACCTGGCAGGTCTTCTTCAAAGGTTTTCACAGTGCTAAAGCAGAATATAGATGGACCACAATGATGAGTAACATTGAAACCTTATACGTTTAGCATCAGAAGGGTTCCAGCAATGGTCCAAAACATGGCTCTTGATTGTCCCCATTTGTGTGGGTTCCTGCAGAAACGGTGGGTGGCCATACTATCCCAGGAGTTCCCCACCCTGGCTTTCCACGCCAGTCTCACCAACTCCTTCGGAAAGGGGTCCCTCATCCAGCTCTTGCGACAGTTTGGAAAGGTAAGGAATGATTCTCCATCCACAAACGTGGAGCAGAATATAGCCCATTTGGGTCACCTGACCTAATGATTGCTGCTAGCTAGCACATATTCACATATTTGGATACAGAAGACCCTGTTGTTTGGTCTGCACATGAAAACATTGTTGGGAATTTGGTGAGAAGTCTTTGGCTCTGGGAGAAGGTCCGAGATTTCGAAACGTCTGCTTAAACCACTTGACTCTGAGGATGGGCGATACAGCAACGCTCGGAAACACGATAGAATGTTCTGGCTCGGCCCGAGAGGGATTTTTTCCTTTATGTTCTTGCCGCATCTGTTATTGAAAGGAGGCATGCGTCTAATTGGGACCGGATGCATGCAGACCAGGTGGGAGCCACGGAACCTGGGTAGGGCAAACGGGTAGATCGTGGGCAGCCCCTGCTGAAGATGTGACATGGCTCTGGAGTTGCAGATGAGAACTGAGGCCTGTTTGTGGCAACATTTGTAAATCTTGTGGCGATGCCTGGGTGGCAGAGAGCTCCCATGATGCCTTGGACTTCCTCCTGTTCTTCACAGCTGCATTGTGGTTCTTCTGGGTACTCCTCCTCCCTGGGGGGTGGGGCCCCTCTAATTGTTTAAGTGAACCATGCAGCTCGATCGAGGAGGAGCCAGGACAGTGGCAACCGATGCAGCCAACTTGTACCCTCTCCACTCGTTTAGGTGGCACCAAGGCTGAGGTTGAGGATTGGAGCGGGCCTGCCCTACCCAAGTTCTAGCTGCGATGCCTGGCCTTGGCACGTGACTCCTTCGTGCATCACTGAAGTGTTCTCGGCACCACTTGGACCAAGCTTTCAAAGAAAAATGGGGGGGGGGGTTTAGTCAGTATAAAAGCATAAATTTCTTTGATAGTTATACAGCTGACATGTAGTCTCAAGAAATGAGAGCACAAGAAATACCGAAAGCAGTATGAAAGCGCTGTAAATCTGGGAGCAGCCAGTCTTTAAAGAGGCGGAGTGGCCTTTGGATGTGTTGTCTTGGAAACGTCGGTCATAAAAATGAGACGACCCTGCTCAGACGTAGCATTTACGATTGACCTTTAGATGTTTTCTACCTGCGTGCAGTTAAAGTGTCTCTCCCTCTCCTGCTTCCATGCCGTTTCTTTCACGGGAGATACAGATGCGCACCCTGGATGTAACAGAGACTTGGCCCATCAGCTTCAAAAGCACATAGCTGCATAGTTCAGCAGGTCAAGAGTTACCAGGTTGTGGGGATGCATAAATGCGCAAAGATCAACGAAAGATCAGCGCAAATTGCTTAAGATATTAGTATTGGCAAAAACAGGTTAACTGCATACCAGGTTTTCCATGCCTATAGGGTGAAAGTTACTCTAGGGCAGGGCTACATTTGGTTAATATATGGAAAAATGTGTGTTGTTCTTACAATCGGGGAAATTGTCTGCCCTTTTTCGATTGGCTCGATAGCCAGGTGTTACAGATTAAAGGAATTTCAATTTTCGGAATGGGTGTGATAATATAATAAATGGGATGGTTACTAGTCTTGAAAAAATTGAATGTCGATTTGTGATGCTTCAGAAAAGAGAGACTAAAATTCATGATGTTGGGGGATATATAAAAAAAGTGGGTTTTCTTTATGTGGTTTTGTGGATTAGCACAGTATTAAACCTAATCTGCAGATCTGTTGGAGACCTGAGTATTTAATGTGTGCAGTTTTTAGCCTTCTGTTATTTGAGCATTTGAGCCATTTTTGGAAGATTGGGTCCAGTTTGGAGCTTTTCAGGCTTTCAGGGGTGAGGTGGATGGAGGCGAGCTGAGTTTTAGTCATGAGTATTCTTGGGCTTTCATCTCTGCAGCTCCACTCAGATAAGAAGCAGATCAGCGTGGGATTCATTGGGTACCCCAATGTGGGCAAGAGCTCCATCATCAACACGCTGCGCTCCAAGAAGGTCTGCAACGTGGCACCCCTCGCCGGGGAGACCAAGGTGAGGCCGGGCCACGGATCCCGAAAACCCCGCCCCTTCCTGTCACATGACTGCAAATTTGTGCTTCTCATCAGAAGTTTTAGGAATTTGGCAAAACATTTTTAAGCCGTTTATATTTGGTAGAAGGTACATTTGTTTCCCACATGTACGCCGTACATCTGTGCAGTGAAATGCTTTTCCCACCTGCTTCCAGCATTGTGCTTGAAAGGAAAAATGTAATAAATAAAATTAAGATAATAAAAATAACACAAGATTGTAAAATAAGACAAAAATAGAGGGTAAGGGTGTGTAGTTGTAAATGAAGTTGTGGCATGGTATAAAGTCTGTAATGTGTGCATTGGCCATAAGAGCCCTCGTTCCGTTTGGACAGCCTGAGGGTATGTCGTCGAGAAGGTGTTCTCCGTCCTCTCATCCGCAATGAAGCTTCATAAAGTCGTTTTGGACAGAGATCCACATGCATTGATGACCTGGCCATTAAGTCTTCACCTGGAACCACTAAGTTCGGATCCATGGATGTGCTCTCTACTATAAATATTACTGCTTATCCAAAGGCTCTTTCTCTACATTTGCCTAAAAGCTCATGTTTGCCATGGGATACGGTTCTAGGAGAACCGAGCTCTTAGAATTGTCTCATCAAGCATGTCATCCTCCGTAGCATGAATCCCCGCGCTCCTTTTTGATCACAGGTTGTAGGTTGTCTAGCAGAGGCTGCTGCCGTTCCACATGTGCGTGAACGCTGTCCCTTTGTAAATCACCGCGCTGGATGATGACGGGTGAAGGCTGATCTCAGATGCTCTCCATATGATCTACCTGGCATTTCGCGAGAATCATCCTGTAGCACTTACCATCTTAAATATGCCCATTTATCTCGGTCTGACAAGCCAGATGGTTTTGCCTGTCAGCAGCAGAACATTTCTATTTGCAGTGGGAGGAAAGATCCATTAGGCCTTTGTTCAGGAACCTCCCTCTGGAAAGCGAGACAACAAAGGAAAATAATACTCCTTCAGCTCGTGTTTTAAGTCCTTGTATACTTAAGCTCAGGAGTTATGAAGTTGTATATATTTTTTGGGAAAAGGGGCAAAAGTGTGTGTTTGAAAGCTCATGAATAATGATGAAAATGAGGAAGGTGGTCTTTGTCGGACTCATGATCACTTCGGCGTGTTGCGAGAGTGAGAGGTTGGTTTACTTTGCTCGTGACCGAATGCTTAGCTGGGTCATTAACCCAAAGGTCCCCTGAGGTCATTTGGCAGACCATCCGTCTGTCCGACGCCATTTTACCTCCCCTGCTAATGCTCTTAATTATTATTTTTTTGTGATGGATTTTTTTTTTTTTTTTAAACGGACGTCCTATGTGTATTTTCGCGAATTGAGGTCTTTTTTTCCCCCCACATTTCAAGTCATTTCCTGCCTTGCAAATAAAAGAGACGTTATATAAACAGCCATGTGACTAATGATTTTTTTAAAGGTTGGCGAGGGTGTGATTAAAAAACCCAAAACCTGATTTAGAACAGTTGCTGTTTTTGGGATGGTGTCGTTTTCGCTGTTCATACTGACATCTTGTGGCTTTTTGCCTTCTTTTTTTCAAATTATTTATTTTTAATATTTCGTACCCCTTTTTCCATTTTTAACCTGCTTTCAGTCGATGTGGGCCAATCACTGCCATTGAAAATAAACGGCTTTCTCTGTCTTTCTGTACTCATGGGCTTGGGACACAAGCAGAGTGGCTGTTTTGCCGTCTTCTTAAATGAGGGAAGTGTGTGAGGTTTTTGAAACCAGCTCCTGGTGCCTGGTGCTGTCCCTTCCTGCCCCCTTCCTGCCCATCATCACGCTCTCTTCTCCCAGGTGTGGCAGTACATCACGCTGATGCGACGTATATTTCTGATCGACTGTCCCGGAGTCGTGTATCCGTCAGAGGACAGTGAAACGGACATCGTACTCAAAGGAGTGGTGGGTTCCCTTATGCAGACAGAGTGTGTTTGACACTCTAAAAACTGCGTCCATATACAATATAATATTTATGAGCATAAGAAAATTTCCAGTGTATGCACAGACGTAATAAATATTTTGTGTCCCTGTGGGTAGTATCTATGATGGCATTAAACGATTTTGTTTTCCTCTGATTGGTTCCAATGCAAACATTTGTCCTGCAGGTGCAAGTGGAGAAGATCAAGAACCCAGAGGAGCATATTGGGGCTGTATTGGAGCGGGCGAAACCGGAGTATATCCAGAAAACGTATCGAGTCCCTTGCTGGACGTCAGCTGAGGACTTCCTGGAAAAGCTGGCACTTCGCACCGGGAAACTCCTAAAGGTTTGTCCCCCGCGGAGTCCAGGGCCTCACTCCGTAAACCGGGGGGGGGCAATGTGAATCCTGCCACCCCATCCTGGGAAGGAACTGGGGTCAGTAATGGAAAGCCCAGTCTGAGGCGTGAAATCGGTCCTGTGTGATGTTTGACAGTCTCTCTCCATGTGTGCCAGGGGGGTGACCCAGATCTGCCTACGGTGTCCAAAATGGTGTTGAACGACTGGCAGAGAGGTCGCATCCCGTTCTTTGTGAAGCCCCCCCTCACGGAGACGGAGGAGGAGGTGGGGGCCGCCCTCATTTGCCGTCACTATGCAGTCTGCATTGCATAACACTCCTCCTTTGAAATCTGCTCTTTGGCTCCAGTCGTAGTTATCCTGCCCCCTACTGTCCATAAAGTGGTACTAAAAGTTGGTAAATAAATTATTCTTAAGGATAATCTTTGAGTGGGTCTTTCCTAAACCATTTTTTCCTCTTTAGCGTCAGGAAAGATTGGGGAAAGTAGGAGAGATGATCAGTGACGGGGACTCGCAGGAGGTGACCCCCGATTTGGTGACGGAGGGTCTGGACCAGACTGACTCAAGTGAGCAGGTGCCGAAACTCCTGACCAACGTCAGGCAGAACTTCGGGAAGATCAACGTAGGCCCAGAGTTCACAGAGGAGGACCTGGTGCCCGTGGAGGTGTCGGACTTCTCGGATGAGGAGGAAGAGCACTCAGAAGAGGAAGATGTGGGGAGTGACGGACCAGATGGGGGCGAAGAGAGTGAGGATGGTGAGGACGAGAGTGAGAAGGCAGAGGAGCCGAAAGCTGCCCCAGCCAAGGCTGAGGTCAAGGACTCACGGCAAGTGGTCAAAGAGTTGGACCAGAAGATCGCCAAGTACAAACAGTTCCTGAGCCGGGCCAAGTGCAAGAGGTTCTCAGCTATCCGGTGTGTCCCCCTGTCCCAAACGGTCTCGTAATAGGCATATTCCACGCATGGCAGAGATCTTCTGATCTTCTGACATATACTTTATTGCTTGTTTTGTGATTTTTTTTCTTTTTTTTTTTCTTTTCCATTTTGAATAGACTTCAGAGCAATTTTTAAAGTTCTTTAATCGAAGTTAAGTGGTGAGTAATAAAGTGACACGTGAAGTAACTTTCTGTTATTACAGGATTCCAAAGTCACTGACGGAGAGGCTGTACACGCAAACGGAAAGGCAGCCGTCGGCGAAAGGCGAGTCTCGCGTCAGAGCTTAATGCGGTTTCCATGAGAATCAGCGGAACCATGAGTTCTGATGGGCCAAAGTTCTGGTCCTTATTGTGTAAATGGGCCATGTTTCTGAAAGGCAGGTGACACTCTCAGGATTCCTACAGATCCTTGAAAGCCTTTAAAACAGATTTTCAAAACTTATTGTCATAAAACATCTGGAAAAGTTTAAAAAATTAGGATTTTGCAAAAAGACCATCCGATGTTACCTTTATAAGCATAATAACCAAGCTTGATTTTTATTTTTTTTTGTGGGTTATTGTGGATTTGTGTGGTTATAATTGTTGAGGCGGGACACTGAGCGGGGGTCAGTAAATCTCCAGAGCCCTGCAATGAATTTTAATTCTAAAAAGCCAAAAAACAAAAAAAAAAAATAGACCCTGAAAACTGATTCCTACTCAAATCTAATGCCAGATATGAAAAGAGGGTCCAGATTACACTGCGTGGTGAATTTCTTTGCCTGGATCCAGCTATTTTATTTTATTTTTTTTGTACAGTTTTATTTTTGGGTGTTGAACTAAGAAAAATAACGAGAGCCGAGTTTAAAGGCTGCCGCTGCCTTGTGTGGATTTGTGTGAAATTTGCCCCAGAAAGATCTCTCCCAATATATCAATCAAAAAATCCATCCTTCTATTTTTAATTTTAAATCAAAGTCAGAAACATAGTGTCCCGTGCCTGACGCCACGTAGCGGTGAGCCGCATGGTGTTGGTAGGCTCTTCACATTCCAGAACTTTCCGTCTGGTCACAGTGTCACCCAGAAGTAGAAAAGCAGCTGCGCTATTTGACACAGTCTGTGTAGGTTGGACCCATGGCGCTGATGTCCCTCTAAATTCCCCATAAGCTGTCCCATCGTGTTTTTCTTAACATTTTGATTCCCCCCCCCTTTTTATGAATAGTTGATCCTGGCATTTCTGGGCAAACGTGAGTCGGTTTCCAGGTTCCAATCTGGAATGTGAAGTTTACACCTCTGGAATGATTTGGTGACTTGCCACAACTTTCACGTTTGGAACATTTTTTTTTTTTTTTTTTTTTTTTAAGTTTTGAAATATGTAATTCTGTCAAAGTGGCCTTCTTGTGGGACATCTGCACAGGGCCAGATACCCTGCCTGATATTCTCTGTCTCACTCTCTCTGGGCCCACAGCTGAGACACAGACCAGCAGAAAGAGGAAGGCCGAGGAAGACGATGGCCAGAGTGTGACGGGACGTGGTGGCAGGCTGACGTGCAAAGAGGTACCGACCCCCCCCAACCATGTGACACACTGTAGGGTTTCGCTGACATCATCCCGGGTGCAGGGAACCCACACTCACTCTCGTGTTGCCCCCGTACAGCGGAGGAGACGGGAACGAGCACAGAAGGTGAAGAAGGTGGGGGTGCGTTATTACGAAACGCACAACGTCAAGAACAAGAACAAAAAGCGGGCCCCCTCTGGCGGGCCCGAGCAGAGCAAGCGGGGCCGGCGCTGACCCCGTGGCTGCATGCCCTGTAAAATAAACCACTTTTAATGGCTTCTCGCGTGTGTCCTTGATTGATGACGAGACCATTTTGGAAGGAAAAGGTTTAGGTGTGAACGGGGCGTGGAAAACAATACCACTTGGCAGCTGAAAGTCTGGCCCTCATAGCTCCGTTTCACAACTGCACTTTAAAACACCTTTTAAATTTTATAAACTAGCGTGGCAAAACGAGTGACGATTATGACAGCATTACTGACACTGGGTTGCGTGTTTTATGAATTTTTCATTAAGAAAAATAAACAGTCATCTAATAAAAAATCATGAAGATAGATTTTGCATGACCAAAACATCCCTTTTTCCCTCTAAGTCATGTATTTGTTTTGCTGAGGGATAAATAAACAGTGAGTGAAGAAAAAAACATGCTTCATTTATTAACAGGAAGTGGAAACTGAATGTTGTATGATGTTCTAATTATTTGAAATGTAAACAGTGGCTGGTGGAATTAAAGACAGACCTATTGCTTCAGAACAATTTAATTCTTTGGCGCTACCAGTCCGTCAAGCAGGACCTGGGGGAAAAAAAACACAGGTGAAAGTGGGCAGGTGACACAAATGGAACAAACACCTGAGGACCATGTAGAACCCAGGTGGAGAACACGGAACACTGCGGACAGGTGTCAGCATTCATGGAATTTGGTGAAGAGAAGCAATGATTTTGATGAACTCTTGGTCACCATAGAGCTAACCTGTGTTCTGTTCTCATTCTGTGTGTGTAACTTTTTTGTTTGTACTTTTAAGTTTCCTAAAAACCAAGCAGTACCTCGTAAAATCCAATCGTGGACAGTTAACTTTATCTGATTAATTCACGTTGTTATCAACAGACAGTTAGTGCCCCAGCAGAGTTATCAAGCTGACTGAACTTCAGCCAAATGAAGAACACAGATGGTGTATTTGAACCAGGTGTGCGCAGCCGTCTGCGAAAGACATGTGGAATGTGGAATTCAGTCTAATCCTGAAAATCGCTTGCTATCTAAATACATTTAAGCTACTACAGAGAGACAAAATCTTCTCCAGGTGCTGTGTGACCCTGGACTCATCTACGTGTGGAGTCACTGTGTGACTGTGACGATGCTAAAGTGGAGCAGTCTGTCCATATTGCATTGTTAAGGGCGAGATGGAAAGCAGAGACATATCTAGCATTCCCAGTGCATGTCAGCTAGGCATAGTCTAGGCACGCGAATGATGCCTTGTTTAATGCGAGGTTATGGATTCGGTCTGCTAGTTGGGCATCCAGGAGCTGTGACTGAACCTTAGTAGCTGTGTGAGGTGAGTCGTCAGAACTGGGTGGCTTGCAGGCTTTGGAAGGAGGTCTGGCTCTTAGCCCTGGTGCCTGTGTACCTTAAGTTGCTGGTTGGCCCGTTTGAGGAACTGGATCTCCTCTGAATGCTTCTTCTCGTCGGCCTGCCGCCGCTCAGCCTCCCGCTTCTCCACGGCCTCGCATCTGGCCCTCTGCTCGTTCACCTGCCTGTCCAGTTCTTTCTTCTCTTTCTCCAGCTGCTCAATCTGCACGTTTCCAACAGAAGACCAGACCATCAACTAGTGCTCTTGTTATTATTTCATGGCTTCATGACTTGACATGCAAATTGGGTTTATAAATTTCTCTCCCCCAAAATGAGATAGAATTAGTTACTTTAATCCCTTCTGTAGATTAACTTCTGTAATCTAGGATGGTTTTCTTCCCTGCTCCTTATTGCCTACAGTTTATTGTTCTCCATGTTCAACAGGCCATCTGAAGTCAGTGAGAATACCCACAATCATCTCTCACCGTACCTTCTTCTCCATATCGGACTTGCCCTGCTCGGTCTGCAAGGCCTTCCTCATGCCAAATGCCACACTGCTCTCGTACAGCGTTTGGTAGGCAGCCAGGGTCATGCGGATCTCGTCCCGGACACGAAGCAGGAGGAGACCCCTCTCGGCGCAGTTGATGGTCACCTGTCGGATCAGCTCATCTGCAATGAAACGGCGAGGCCTCGTGAGAAGATAGGCTAAGAAAAGGATGGCAGAGCAATGCAGGGCTCTCGAGTTTCATCAAAAGTTTGGAGTGAGATTACATTAAGGGCGGAGCATGTGACTTGAGCACCCCTCCTACTGCATTCATCGGATCTTGCTCTTCCACCTTGTCTGCACTTCTCTGCGTGTGTGTAATAACGTGCTTGCAGTGAGATCACATGTGACGTATTTTGGAATTTGCCAGGAAACAGCAAATGCTGTTTTCTGATTGGCTGGTGGATGACTATTGATGCTCTATAATTCGGGACAGCTAAGAACTCGGCAGAAAACTCCCCTCCGTATGCCCGCGCCACGTCCATTAATTCTATATAATGGGACACTTTGATGGACGTTATCTCTTATTTCTCAGCGTGAGTAACAAGGTGTGGCGTGTGAGCATGTGAACTGGTTGAAGTGTGTGTATCTCACGGTCAATGCGTGAGACTCGAGGGCCCTGACAGCTGTATGAGATGAGCTTACCTACTAAGTGGTTATTTTATTTTATTGTTACAGCAATTAACCCAGAATGTACCAAAGCATTGGGAGTAGAGCTGTCTGCGGACGGGACAGATGCCCGTCTCCCGAGCCTGTCTCTGCTGTAGCTTTAGATCCAGCTGCTCCTGGAGGTGTATGACATCCACGCGTGTGCAGGGCGCACTGGAAACCCGCTGGATCCACAGTTGGTCATTCTCCGTCCATTCCCTGCAAAGACAACAAGGCCGCGCTGACCGGGCTGTGTGCTGGTAGCTGGGCGCTGCATCTGAAGGCTACTCGGAGGTACCTGGGGGGCAGGATGACATCCAGAACCTCCTCAGTTTGCTGCCTGATGGAATCAGCGGCGGGGCTCTTAGGTTTTGGGGGCACTGGCCCAGTTACAGCGGGCAACTGGAGGCTTGCTTTCAAGTTCCTGGCCTGAGTCACAGTGTAAAGGCCTTTATTACCATTGGCATATTGAAGGGAGACATGACATCATTAATCAAAGGCAAATTTAAAAGCTGCAGCAGTTTGGAAGCATTAAGTGTACTTTACGTTTTGGTCGTAAAGTTTGTCCGAACGATAACCAGAAACAAGCTTTGCTTGTTGTAAAGGCATACAAGCACATTTCGCGCATTCCTAGGCCAGCACTAGAGATGGGTATTTTTCGAACGAACTGGCTCTTCCTCTCAGCTCTTTTAAATGAACGTGGGAGTCGGCCATTTTTAATGAACACACTTTTGACTTAGGCTAGATACGATTATATGATGCATGACCTGTTTGGTAATAACTTTTTAGGGCCAAATGTCACATGAAAAGAGAGACGCTTAATAGGCTACTCCCCCCTGTATGTGCTGACAGAATACAACGATGCTTATTATGATGATATAGTCGTGGTCTTTAATATACAGAGTACACTTGTATGTTATTTTCTTTCATCTGACAATCGTATGACGCAAAAGTGCTACGATGCTAGCTATATGGTGTGCGTTTTTTAGTTGGGTGCCTTTTGCGTTGTTGTTCATTTTAAATGAATAAACCTCTGTTTAGATGATAAAATAGTGTTGAGAAACAAATATGTCGATAAGATAAACATGAAGTAGAGTAACATTTTCTACTGTGCTCTGCTATATGCACGTACGATCACCATCAACCATCCTCTACCTATTCCCTTCTTACAATACCAGTTATGACTTGGTTGGTTATTTAAAAGGAGAACGTCAACACGAGGCCGATCTTAAAAATTATTTCGTATATATTTATATAGACTTTAACAATACACTGTAGCGGGTTCATAAGCAATCAGAATTCGTCACTTTCAGGGACTAAACATCTGCCTCCTGCCTTTTTCCTCTCGCCACAACACAAACATAAAATGTTGTGATTTTTCATTTTACTTTTACCTGTACTTATTTAAAAAGACATTTTTTTCAACATTGCAGTAGGCACAAATGAAATGTTTTACATAAAACAAAGCCCTAATTATATATACTTTCAAACACAATCGGGGCTGTTTTATTTCAGTCTGGAGTTTTACCTTGAATGATTTCTTTTCTGTGTTCCTGCTCACCAGTACAGGATTGTCGTATTTCAGTAGCGAGTCGACTGGGGGAATCATTTCAATTATTAAAACAATACTTAAAATTAAACACTCGGTGCTTCCCAAAAACACACGCAGGAGAGTTTCGTGGGAGTGTGTGGTGCCGTTTCCATGACTACAGAGACGCCTGCTCTCAGAGGTGTCCTACAGGATATACGGTACGGCCAACAGCTGCCCCAACGTGTCAGCCCAGGATATTATCCATTAAGATGAAACAAAGGTATTTAGTTAAATATAATTATAAAAATATAATTAAATATTTTTAAGTTATTGAAATGAAATTTACAAAAACTAATCAGAATCACAAGAGCTGTTTTGGATTCATGATTACTTGATTAGTTTTGCAGTAGTGCGGTGTAGAAGCAGTACGGAAGTCTGTAGAGGACATGCATCAACTTATTTTTCTCGTGATCTCAACATAACCAAAGCCGTTTTCTCCAGATCACAACTTATTTTTTTCTTGTGATCTCGACATAACCCAAGTCACTTTCCCGTGATCTCACGACAAGTTTAGTATTATCCTCATGGACGAATGCATCAGATTTTACTTCGATCGTGGACTGTCCCAATCACAATCAGAATCAGAAGACTTTATTAGTCTCGGAGGAAATTGCTCACATTGCGACTGAACAATCACACATAGACACGAAGACAAGAACAATACATTAGAAGTATAAAAATAGGAATGAAGTTTGAAATAAATTAGAGCACTGTTAAACATTCTAATAAATAAAATAAAATAAGAAAATCTCTGTACAGTAATATAAAGTTATATTGCACTTTTTTGTAAAAGTTAGACTTCAAACTGTGGGAAAAAGTCAAGATATATTGCACCGAATCATGGATAAGAGGAAATAATAGTGTCTCTGTCGGTGCTAGACAATTGTCATATTAGTGTTCGTCATTTGAGAAGGAGGCTCAGAAACTTGCAGCTATACCGTCGAAGAAATTATAGTGAGCCTGAACGAGTAGTCAGTTTCATTACCAACCAACTGGAGAGTCTCCATGGTTACCGGATGATGTTTGAAAGATGACGGCTGAAAAAAATAACTAGTGATCTCGAGATAACGAGAAAAATAAGTCGTGATCTCGAGATAACGAAAAGAAAAAAAAGTTGACGCATGTCCTCTACAGACTTCTGTAATGCAGAACTAAGGGGCTTGTTTTGAGAACATGATCGGAAGAATTTTATAACGGAACCGGAAACGGAACTCGCGGGCTGAAGTCTTTCAGCTCGCGGAAAGCGCGAGTCTTGTTGGGAAACTTGGTTGTCATTAATATTTGCATATATAATGTTCATGTTATGAACATTATATCGAAAACAAGACCAAGCATTTAGACACGTCAATGGAGATGGACAGGGAGAGACGACACAGACGCCATGATTCGCCTCGGGAAACGAAGATTAGAATCAAGCAGGAGAAGCTGAGTCCGGCTAGGCCGCAGAGATCCCGCCGCTCGAGTTCGGGATCTAACAGAGGCAGCGCAAGTCCGGTGCCGCAGAGGAGGCGAGCCAGCAAGTGGGTGTTAAATAACTTCGAGTCAATAGCAGTTTTATAAAATGTGATATAGACAAGTAGGGTCCTCCTTTTTTTTCCCTATACTTATAAGTAGTTAGTTGGCGGTCTCCACACAACAAGGCTTCGTTACAGGTGATTTTTATAACCTATGTTCAGTAGGAATACGTTTTCTTAATGCCAATTTGAGAAAGTGAACTTATTTATATTCTTGGAACTGTCATGGAGAATTATTTTTTCAGTCATTCAGGTATGTTGTTGCTTTACTGACGCTTTAAACCATTGTCCTATTTGTGCTTTAAAATAAACGCACCAGCACCCTTCAAACTATTAGTTGATGCCATTAGCCACCTGTCGTCTTATTTAAATAAACAACATTGTCTAGGTGAGTACTTTTAACTGTCAGGGATTCACTTGCATCTTTTTTTTTTTTTTTGCTGTTTGTTGGAATAGATCACCAGCCAGGAGGGGGGACAGGTCGTCAGGCCGAAGGGAGAGCCGTTCCCCCCGGCGTAAACGGAGCCGAAGCCCCCCACGTGGCAGTGATGTTAAAATAAAACGGGTAATTCGAGGAACTGATATGAAGGTTGTATCACAAGCTGCAGTTTGTTGTCCGAGGGCTAGTAATCCATTATCAGAGGAGCTGCTGCAGATACAGATGCACGTAATGTTTCTTATAGTTGTGCTCGTTCAAGCTCTGTAGAGCTTTTCCCCGTAGTCATCCAGACATTGAACTCTTTGCTGCCCCTCCCCCCAGATATGAAATTTACATTAATGCTGTAAATTCAGAGATTGGAAGTAGGGGCTGGGAATGACATCACACCTGGTTAGCCACTTTCCAGTACAAGTCAGAAAGCCATTTAGCAATACCAGTTGATAGCACATTACATGGTATTTTACACATACAAACACTATAACAACTTGTCCATAGATATGCTGTGTGCATGACTGATTTAATGAGACAAACCTTAGTGCTAATAAACAGTATATAACCACAATTTTCACTTCTGATGATGAAGGGAGAGCAGCCATGTTGAATTCTGAGGCTGGGGTTGACTTTCCGAGTCAGAGTATCGACTTCAGGGGGGTGTTCCAGTGGAAATTTCTGACTTTCAAAAGGAACACACCATAACACTCCCCCCACCAGCCCTTTGTCCCTTCATTGCCATTTGCGCCCTTACTGCCACTGTTACCAATATTATTTGTCTGTGATTTTTATTTCCTTCTACATACCACTCGTTCTCTGCCGCTTCAGTCATTGCCCATTGCAAATATTCCATCATTGCTTATATTTACTTTGTGTCAGTTTTTTTATTTTTATTTTTTTTATTCCTCTGCTCTTATCTTGTCTAGGCACATATGTGGGGAACACTCTTGTCACCTTACGCATTGTGCCGAATATGGTTGGTGTGACAAGATGTTCCCACTTGACTCATTTTTCTAACATTGTATTTGTTTTGTATGAATTACGGTAGGAGGCAGCACTGTTAAGAAGGAGCAGTTTTTTTGTGCCTTTTGATGTAATAGTCCATTTTCCCCACACTCTTTCTAGGAACGGGACAGTCACTGCGGCGAAGAGGACCGGAGGCGGCACAACCGCAGGGATGGGGAGGATGAGCGACGGGGAGGACGGGAGGCTGAGCGGCCGCGGCACAGAGAGCGAGGAGGGAGAGAGGGAGCAGAGCGGCAGAGGGACAGAGACGCAAGGGCTTTCCATGAGCAGCAGGCTGAGCGGGTGCGGCATGATGAGCGGAGGAGGGAGCACCGACACTGCATGGAGGCTGGAGGCCAGGATGCTCCTGAAAGTCCCACCTTTGGCTCGCAGGCGGACAGCGAGGCCCCAGTGGCAGACAAAGAGAAACCCAACTTTGAGCTCTCTGGTGCCCTCGTAGAAGATACCAACACCTTTAGGGGGGTGGTGATTAAATACAATGAACCCCCCGAGGCGCGCATACCTAAGCGGAGGTGGCGGCTGTACCCCTTCAAGAACGACGAGCCGCTACCCGTCATGTACATCCACCGACAGAGCGCCTACCTGCTGGGGCGGCAGAGGAAGATCGCAGACATCCCCATTGATCACCCCTCTTGCTCCAAACAGCATGCTGTGTTTCAGTACAGGTGAGCAATGGGGAAAGTTGCTGAAGCTGTATGACTGGACGCGCACTTGTGTAAATGTTCAGTGAAAGACAAAGGATAAAGATAGATCAGAAAAAGCAAATCAAAACCAATTGGGTTAGTTATTCACGTATAAACAGGATGTGGGGATTCTGTCAGCCCTGACCAGTTGAGTGAATGTTGTTTTGTGGCTAGGTTGGTGGAGTTCACGCGAGCAGATGGGACCACAGGCAGGAAGGTGAAGCCGTACATTATCGACCTGGGATCTGGCAACGGCACGTACCTGAATAACCAGCGTGTCGAGGCGCAACGCTACTACGAGCTGAAGGAGAAGGACGTGCTGAAGTTCGGCTTCAGCAGCCGCGAGTACGTCCTTCTGCACGAGTTCTCTGACACGACCGAGGTGGACGAGAAGCGAGACGAGGAGGACGAGGGCATGGACGAGTGAGATGGCAGCGATCGCGGGGAGACATGAGACTGCGTGAAGCTGGGTTTTCTCAAGGCCATTGCGGAAAATCGATCCAGAATCTGGTTAGACAAGGGGCATAGTGAGGACTCTGTTAGGGGGAAGAGCCTCTGTCCCTTACAGTACAGTTTTTTTTTTTTGTTTTTCCTTTTTAACTACTCAGGTCGTTGTATGTAAGTACAGTAGTTTGCTTATTGATGGCTGACTGGTGTACAGTGACAGTTATTGTCCCGTTCGCTTGAACGTTAAACCCTTTAAACCAGTAGATCAGCATCCGCACAGATGTTAATAAAATATTTTTTCGAACCAAACTCTTGATTACAGGCTCTTTGACGAGCCACCCGCATAAGTTACTGTGAATACAGAAATGATCGCTAACCCTGGAGTTCGTGCATCACCCACCCCCACCAAGATCACGGGTCCTGACCATCATCTATCGGTTAAATATGCGGCTGTCATACAAGAAGAAAGATTTCATTTTTTTTTTTTTTTTTAAAGAATAAAATAAAAATTTGCTTCTCTTTTTGTAAACCTGTATGCAGAATTAACTGTTGCTTTATATAGTGCAATATGTATGCAGCAGTTCATATATTTTTCCCATTGTACAGAACATTTTGAGTTGAAAAAAATGGGTTACTTTGAATCTTCAGGAGTCACTGAATGGCTCCGTAAGTTACTAGGTAATTTCATTTACAAGTAATTTTTATGGTTTTGAACACCTGAAGTTTAAGTATATATTTGGGTTTTTTTAATATTTCTTTTGTAAATAAAGATTGTTGTTAATCTGGGTAAGTTATTTAATCCTCAGTGGAATCAAAATGGTGTTTCTTTTTGTTTTCAGTCTGACTAACAGTGTACAGTGCATGTCCTGTTCTGGTTGGTTAGAAACTACAGTGAATTTTAAATAGTTAAGGAAGATAAGTTTGGGTATTTAAAGTCCTGTAGGGTTGCACTAGTTTAACGATAACCTGCAAAAAGCCTTTACACTTGTAAATAAGGTAATACAGTATTAGTAGAGAGGTAAGTAAAATGAAGTAGGATTTTCCTATATAAAAATGTTGGTATGCTGTCCAAAATGCAATGATTTGCTAATGGTAGGAACCTATATTTAGTTCAAGACATAATTGTTGAAATTTCATTGTTTTATGACATATATTCAATTTGAATTTGATGCCAGCAACATATTTCCAAAAAGTTGAGATGGGCAACAAAATTGTGTGATGCTAAAACAAAACATCTGCTTGAATATCTCACCTAATTAGGTTAATAGGCAACAGGTCAGTAAGACGGTTGTAGGGCAGCATGTGTCTCAGCGGGTTAAGCCTCTGTGCCAGTGATCCGAAGGTCTTTGAGCACAGCCCTTAACCCCCAGCTCCCTGGGTGGGGAGGTTCACCACTCTGAAAGACTGCGTGGGCAAATAGTGCAGCAATTTAGCAGTAATGTTCCTCAATAATCGAAACCGTCTGCTGCATGCCTGCACTTGGGTCCCAGTTCGAGGCAGCCCATCCAGGTAGGCGCGTGGAACGTCTTGTCTCTCCAGCAAGACGTCTCTGCTGTCGGGGGAGCTTCCTAAACTCTGCATTTCGGTGGCAGCACTCTCTGAGGTACGCAGACCAGGGAGTGACCAGATCTCTGTAGGTGGGTATACCTACTTTTGGTCTGGTTGCTCTGATGACTGCCATACTAACGGAGTAGCTGTTGCTGTAGCAGTTACTCTTTATGGTGTCTGATGTCACTTTTCAACAAGTGTATTATGAGATTCGGGCTAAGGCACTCCTTGGGTGTCTTGTCTGTTGTCTCAGTGTATGCTCTAACCACAGTGAGTGATGTCTTGTTGAGGGAAACATTTCTCTTGCAGCTTCGCTCGATGGTTGATGGGTGCCCACGAGGTGACACTCCTCTGGTCACGGGTGACTTCAATGCGATCACAGACACTGACAGGGCTGGCTAAGAGGTCTGGAGACCTGGGTGAGAGTGGCTCCATGTTCCTTGACTTTGTGAAAGATCAGGGGCTGTGGGTCACTGGATCTGCGTTTCAATGCCCTGAGCCACATCGTTAAACTTGGTACTCCAATACTGGTGGTGCGGTGAAGAAGATCACATCCTCATGGGCAGTTGATGGAGGCTCCTGCAGAACTGCAGGGTCTACAGAAGTGCCCAGTTTGTGAATTCTGACCACAGACTTCTTGTTGCTACTCTGAAGATTCAGCTTAAATTCCGTAGGCTACCACCTACTAGGAGAATGAGGCTGGACTTGGCCAGACTCCAAGATCAAGCTGATAAGTTTGCACACAGTTTGTGTGAGGAACTTGCAGACTTGGATGTGACTGCTGACTCTAATTTGATTCGGGAGACCTTCTGTGATAAGACTCTGAAGGCTGCCAAGGGTTGTGTTGGTGTTGCCAGTGTTCCCAGAAGGAAGTGTTTCATCTTGCAGGGCACTCTGGATATTATGGAGAGGAGTCACCGCGCATGACTTGATGGCAATTCCAGTCTGTACCAGGAACTGACAAGGAAGGCTCTGAGGGCAGATAAGGAGGCATGTGTTAGACGAATCCGTGAGCAGGTGACACACCATCTGTGGTCTAGTGACCCACGTCCTGCTTACAGAGGAATCGAAGCATTATGCACATCTGAATCTGTTCCTCGGAGACTTGCAGTCAGGGTGGGTGATGACACCACAGTTGTGACCCACTACTTTGAGCAGTTTAAAGCTGACCCTATCTAGGATGTTGGACTTCTCTGGGTCTATGGTTCCTGAGGCTGATCCTCCAAACAGCTTTGAACCACCCAATCTCACTGAGATTGCACAGGTGGTGAATCGGCTGGAGGTAGGGAAGGCCGCAGGGTTCTGTGGTATCCAGGGTGAACTTCTCCAGGCTGGTGGTAAGGCTGTCCTCCTGGCATTGCAGACAATCTTTGTTTCCATTTGGGAGTCAGGCGTCATCCCAACTGACTGGAAAATGGGACTTGTAGTCCCTATCTGGAAAGGGAAGGGTGATCGCCTGGATTGTGGGAACTACAGAGGGATAACACTGCTCTCAGTGCCGGGTAAAGTCCTAAAAAACTGTATTCTGCACATCTTACAACAGTATGGCTCCGTAGCAGAAGAGTCCGGGTGCTAGATTGGCCTGTCTGCAGTGCAGACCTGTCACCCACTGAAAACATTTGGCACATCATGAAATGAAAAATATGACGAAGGAGACCCCGAACTGTTGAGTTGAAATTCTGTATCAGACAAGAATGGGACAACATTTCACTTTCAAAACGTCTGTTATTAAAAGAAGAGGTAATGCAACACAGTGGTAAACATGCCCCTCTCTCATTTTTTAAAAATGTGCTGCTTTTATCACTTTCAAATTGAGCTTGTATTTATCATAAAACAAAATTTCTCTGTTTCAGCATTTGATGTTGCCTTTGTTCTGTTTTCAATTAAATATAGGTTTGTATGATTTGTTAATCATTGCATTCTGTGCTTAATTATGTTTTATATGGTGTTCCAACCTTTTTCTTTTTGGAAATGGGGTTGTACGCGTGTGCCATCTTCATGTTAATATGACATTCTAAAAATGCTCAACCTCACCCTTAACATTCAGTTCAAGTGTTTCCACACTAGTTAAAATAAACCACCTAGCAATCTTAACCGGTTATGCAAAATGGTTATTACTCAAAATAGCTTAGTTGCCTTAGTGCTGTAACACTCTGCAGCTGTGGTCATCTGAGTCTCTATAGGGCTGGAACAAACCAGTCATGGAAACAGCTTTTGAAGGAGTCAGGAAGGATCGGAGTATCACAGATCTTAGTTGTTTATCCCAGTGACTCAGATCTTTTTATAGCAGCATGAGTAGTTGAGTAATTTCATGGTAGTATGTACCTGACTCTGACCTGTATGTTGAGTTTGTGTGTTCTTGAGGTCCTTCACGATCAAAAATCATGAATGTGAATTGACGTCGCTGAATTCCCCTTTGCGATCCCCTATTGGATAACCATCTGAAAGGCGGATGCGTGACTTTACTGGAATCCTACTTATCTTGTAGGATATGGCGGCAAGCAGCCACTGGGGGACACTCGTGTCAAAATTTACATCTTCTGGCGTAAAACTGATGGGAAAAGTTTGGAGACTTAAACGCCGCAGTAGAAATTAGAAAAAAAGGGCACGATTCCTTTCTCTATGAAAATACGGGCGTGGTTCTGTAAGTTGGTCCCACATATTTTTTTGTGTAAATGCTGTACTTCCCGCCGAAGTTTGTTACACTTTTGCGACCGTTTAATCCCAAAGCGCACGATTTTAGAAACGGTACAAATGGAAAGCGTCCTTAACATAATAAAACCAGATATATTATAGGCTTTTTTAATCACTGGCTGACGGTGATTAGGCAACCAGAATTTGTTTAAGGGTTTCTTTTTTCCGTTGTGCGCGTTTTTGAAATAACTAAAAAAATAAATATCGCTTTGTGCCTTGGCGGTATTACATTTATAAAACACTACTTGTTTGCATATATGCACGTGTTGATCTGTCCCGGTCCCATTTTGCGGTGGGAAAGGTGTGTTTGGAGGCGGCAGATGTCGCACGGAGCTCGGAGGCGTTTCCCGTGGGCGGCGCATCCCCGGACGTCCTCGGGACACGCGCCAGCTTAGGAATCTGGGATAACATGGTCAAGCACGGAAGGTGATCATTTTATACTTTAGGTTTCATTCGTGTGGGCAGGCAGCTGTGCTGCACGATGTGAGAATGGCCACGGCGGACCGCGGAAAAAGAGAGCTCGAGTTGCCGGCTGGAAGCATGTGGCAGAACTCAAAGGTGGATCTATCCAACAAGGACGTGATCATCAGCTCCACACATAGCCGGACCAGAAATGTCACCGTCGTCTACGTGGTCCCCCGTGCGTCGTTGCCCGAGACCGGTGTGGACGTAGCGCTGGCATGCCTGCAGAAAGCCTGCGAAGAAGCGCACACTTCCTTGAAAAGTGTCCCTTTGGATAAAGTCGTGCTGAGCATTCCGGATGTCCTGGACACATTCTACAACTCAGGCAAGTACGGACAGGGAGCCCATGTATAGGCAGAAGGTCTTGTAATCTAAGAAGACAGCGCTGTGCGGGTGGAAACACACACGCACCACATTGCAGCTAATTTAAGCATCCAAATAACTTTGATTCCTTGTGAAATTCACTTTCTCGCCTTTCGCGGACCTGATCCAGGTGAACGATCGGGCTGGTAATGGTTTGGTTTTCGCCTTTCAGACGTGGCCGTGGTGGAGATGAGCGACTCTTCTTGTCAGCAGTCTCTCTTCTACCACCTGGGCGTGAGGGAGAGCTTCCAAATGACCAACAACGTCATCCTGTACTGCAGCGAGCAGGGGGGCGATCTGCTCACTCTGAGGGTACAGATCTAATGTATATTCAATCACCTGAAAACTTTACTTAATCTCCGCTCTTACTATTGACTCTCCATGCATTTCTGAACCTCTCATATCTTTGATTCCTTCTGCTTTCTTCAGTGTTGGCAACGAGCCGTTTCATTTTTGCACTTTCGGTTGACTGAATAGCAGATTCTTGCTTTGTGGGAGATGATGTGTAGTTCTTACTCCAATATTGCTCACACTTGTGTGTGGGTATTTATGCCCCGCTGACTGCTTGACAGCCATGTTTGTAAGGTGCTGTTTGCCTCACTCGAATAAAGCGAACAAAATCGTCTGCTAAAAGCGTTATGACTATGTCTGCTAAATGTGATATAAAATATAAATTTCAGTATTCCTATCCACTTTGTATGACGACATGTTCCCGACGGCGGTTTCCTGGAAAATCGCTTTGCTGTAGGTTGCTCATTTTAGTAGTACTTAGGCCCTGTTCCTGAAAATATGACCTGATAACCGACATACTGCGGAATTCTTATCAGCAAATCCGAAGACCGACGCGAAATTTGGATCTATAAGCAGGAGGTGACTTTTAAAGTCGCGTGCAGTGCTAAAACAATGCCGAATGAAGTCATCGCCTATTCTTCAACACATAAATGTTTATTGTGCTGTTTGACTATGTAGAATTCTGGGTGACTGTCTTGGGTGGAGTAGCAAACAGAAACGAAGAGAACAAACTGTACCGTGTAGAAATCTTAGGCTGTCAGAGATGTGGTGTTTAATTGATCTTCATTTTGGTGTGGGACTAAAACATTATCCACCTCCCTTGTCCCATGTGTGGTCATGCATGGACCAAAACATTATCTGCTTGTAAAACATTATCAGCTGATATTCTTTGTTTTGGTTTTAACTAGTTTTCCCTGTGATTTGTTGTTACTGGAGCCATGTTTTGACAGCTATGTGTGGGTGTTGTCCTGCAGGAAGGATGCGGGACCTACACCTTTATCCAGTACCTGGTGTCACCCCAAGGCAAGGCTTTCACCTGCGAGGCTGGCACAGCAGCGGGCATCAAGGAGCTGCTGATCCCTAGGATCAAGCTGGAGCCCTTGCTCACCCCACTGGTGGAGAAGTTCATCCAGCTCTTGGAGAACGTCCAGATCCACCACAGGTGGGTCCAGTCCTGGGGCCTGCTACCACGCTGTTTTGCCAGGGTTGACGTCCCCCTGCACACCTACCACCAGTTGGGGAGGGGGGAAGCGATTAGGTCTGATCAACTTGACACTAGAGCACCTCATCCTCCCCGCAGCGAGTACTCTCAGGAGAAGATCCGGCAGGAGATCCGGACGGCCCGTGAGAGGTTCAGTGGCCCCGACCTGAGCCACGAACTGGGCCAGATCCAGAAGCGACTGGACACGATGGAGCAGCTTAGCCCAGACATCATCATGAACCTGCTGCTGTGTTACCGTGATATCCAGGTGAGGGGGTGTCCCACCCTGCTGAGCCATCAATGACAACAAAAGCGAAGAAACTGGGAGGGGCATCCCCTCAAAAAAACGGTTGGCAGGTGGAGATATACCGGCATGAGTTCTGCCTTCTTTTTCTGTATCGCCTGAGAGAATATTGACGTATCACATCCATCCAGGCAGTAACTGGAACCTCTCATGTTGCTTTGGCATGTTCTACCTCTCTATTGTTCGCCTGACTAATCAGTCATGCAGCCTGACATACACGGTATCTACTCCAGGACTACGGCGGCGTCATTAGCCTGGTGGAGACACTGACGCAGCTCCCCACCTGTGCAGTGGCCACGCAGCAGAACATCAAGTTCCATTATATATTTGCACTGAACAGGTACCTGCTCCTGAATTTGCCGGCACCCTATAATACGGCCCTCAGAATCCAGTCAACAGACTCGGCCCTGTTCAGTGAGAGTCACTCAGAGTGTTGACGATTCACCAACGATTCAGCCTGGTGCCTCGTCAAGTTAATTCAGTGTTTCTCTGTTGCTGTGTAATTGTGTTATTATGAATTGGTTTTTGTTTATACATTCTTACTAGTATTACATTGCGTGGAATGTCATTCAGCAAACCCAAAGTGTTAATCTACAGGCAGCCTGCAGTGATTAATGAATCTGGGTCACCAAATTGGTTTGTTTTTTTTTTGTTTTTGCTGCGAGCAGGAGAAACGCCCCAGGTGACCGTGACAAGGCCTTGTCCATCATCATCCCCATAGTGGAGTCTGGGGATCGGGTACCATCGGACGTCTACTGCCTCTGCGGCCGCATCTACAAGGACGTCTTCTTGAGCTCTAACCTCAGCGACCCGCGGGCGCGAGACCAGGCCTGCTACTGGTGAGAAGGGCGCGGAGAGCCCAAGCTAAGACCCCACTGGAATAAATTCCTCAAGGGTTACGGTGACACTGAGCGTAATGGATATGGATGAGAGCACAGCACCTGTAGGTGATTCCAGTGGGTACCTTATGGTAGACCCTTCATTAACCAGAATTGCACCAGTAAAATATGCACTTGCATACATAGGTAAAATTCAATACAACTAAATAATTATATAAGCCCTACTAAAACCTAGCAGGAATCCAGCTAGGCAGGGTTTTCTTACTTCCGCAGATGCATGCTGACTCATTTTTTACAATGTGTTATTGTTTATTCTTCATTATCCAACTGGTTATCCTGGTCAAGGTTACAGCAGTTTTCACGTTTACCTTCATTATTGTATATGCTTTATATTTTATTCTGCGTGCATTTTTAATAGTCTTATATCTAGTCTATAAGAATATTAGTCTAGTCAGCTTCAGATTGACACTTAGTGACGCCTTTTATGTAAGATCCTCAGTACTCCCATCTGACATGTTCCTGACGCCGGGTTTCCTGCTCCTTCTGCTCTAGGTACGGCAAGGCCTTTGAAACAGAGCCAACGTTACACTCGGGCATCAACTGCGTGGTTCTGCTGATGGCGGCGGGCCACAAATATGAGACTTCTGTGGAGATGCGGAAAATCGGTGAGTCTTCTGGCAGCACCGGGCTAGTGATGTAGTCAAGGCCACCTAAACTGAGACCAAATTATCACCAAGACCAGAGTGTATCGAGACGGAGACAAGACCAAGACCGAGGCAGGGCTAGACCATAGTACTATGGTACTATGTTTGAGGCTACGTAACACACTGTGAAATGTGGAGCATAGGCACCATCTTGGGTCTAGGTAGTATGGCCTAAAATTTGTGTCACAGCATAATTTGAACCATGGACGTTTTTTCCTTAAAATTTCAATATAAATGCTTATGTACAAATGTAACGTTTTTTCAGGTCAGACACACCTTATTGGTTGCATTTGAACTTTGAAGCAGGACGTTTTACACACAGTCACAGTACTGTGTTAACCCCTTGAACCATATCCATTTTTGAGCGTGTTTCTATCCCTTTGATTTTAGGCTTCTTACATTGTATGTACATGAGTTAGCCACATATGCTTTATGGTTTTGATTTGATTCTGGGCTACTCAGATATGCCATAATTTGATGTGTAAATGCTGACACAGTCTTGATATCATCCTTCTTATGAGGAAAAACGACTTGCGCATATTGTATTCTCAATTTTTAGTCTCATCTAATATAAAAATTCGCAGGCACTACAAATCTAATCTCATAAATGTGTGGATTAGAGTCTCTATGATGTAGGAATGCAGGCGTTTCCTTATGGACCTTTCTGTGTCTGATAGAAAGCAATGCATGGTTTTATATTTTTAGATTTTTTTATTTATTACTTCATAACATCTGAAAGGAGTTGAAAAAGAAAAGCATTGTTTAGTTTATGATCCACTGGATAAACACAGACATAACAGTTTTAGAGTCTAATGCTGAATGTTTATCGGTATTGTTTCATTTTGCCTGTATACGCTATGATCGGTAAAGTGAAATTTAAGAAGGAAACTTTCAGTTGACATGTTAGCCTCAAACAACAAACCAGCACTGTAGCACGTCATTGTGTTTACATGTGGCAGGTATTCCAATTACACGTTTGGTGCGTTCTCTTTCAACTGTTTTGACAGAGCTCGACATCAAGCATACATATACAAACTTTTTGGAACAAATATTTTGAAAATTTCAAGTAATTGTCTTGCTAATTAATAGATTGCTGCTTTTGTTGTTATTTCTAGTAGAACTCCAACCCATTTTTGAGTCTTTTTCTATTCCTTTATTTATAGGCTTATAATAAAATAAACAAATCATAAAGTAAATATTGTTTTCCAGAAGGGTAGTGTGTGGATCATTGTAGAAGCAAATATGCGCTTTGTTTTCTGTCAAATGTGAATAATATGGTCGTTTTATGAATTATTAGGGTGCTTTTCATGGAAAATGTTATGCCTCATTATGCACACCTGGAATATTTTAGTAACCAATGTTGCAACTTGGATGACTGGATTGAGTACATTCTCTTGATTGCAAAAATATGCGATTCATGTGGATTATACCTATCCAACCTTAACTTTGAAAGGCTCTTCTAGTATCCCTGCAGTTTACAGGCTCTGTTGACAAGTTTAAATGTGTGTTAAAAACTCATTTAACTCGGACTTTAGCCAGCATCTTGTATTAGTGTACGTTTATCATGCCTATTTTACCCCTGCTCTTCAGTACTGGTACGTATCTGGGCATTTTTGTGACTCTGCCTTGTTTTTATTAGTTTTAACCTCGTTTTTATAAATTTATGTACTGGTCCAACCAAAGTGCTTTAATATGTAAAGCACTTTGTGTCTATAGGTGCTATATAAATAAACTGTACTTACTTGCTTAAGTGGTGATTAGTTAGCGTATTATGCTGTCCGTTGTGTTTTATCTTGTCTTAACTGGGGACCTTTTAATATGTAAAGCACTTTGTGTCTATAGGTGCTATATAAATAAACTGTACTTACTTGCTTAAGTGGTGATTAGTTGGCGTATTATGCTGTCCGTTGTGTTTTATCTGTCTTAACTAGCCCAAGAACAGGTAAATAAAATCTCGAGATTAATTTGCGATGGCGTTACTTGGCGTGAATAGCCCTGGATTAAGCCTGGCTATGAATGAGGGAGTCTTTCTGTTTGCGTGGAGGAAAACTGAGGCGTGTTTTTGCTGGTGCTGTGTGCACAGGGGTCACCTTGAGCAGCCTCCTGGGGAGAAAGGGGAGCCTGGAGAAGATGCAGGACTACTGGGACGTGGGCTTTTACCTGGGGGCCAACCTGCTCGTCAATGAGCACAAGAAGGTTTTGGAGGCATCGGAGAAGCTGTATAAGCTAAATGCTCCCATGTGGTAAGATTTATGACAGATTTACCATCTGTCTATGCATCCGTTAATCAACCACTGAGATTCATTTTAGAACAGTTTTTCTCAACCCGGTCCTCGGGGACCCACAGCCGGTCCACATTTTTGCTCCCTCCCAGCTCCCTGCCTGATAATCAATGTTTTTGCAAAAATGAGAGTCTCGGGTGGGATTTCTGTACACTGCTAACCACCAGTTTAGTTATCCCGCTTCCCGTTGGTTGGATCTTAAGTGGTTGGTTGAAACAAAATCTTGGTCTGGATTTTTAGCTTTTGGACCTGAACTATCCAGCACTGGTCAGTTTAGAGGGTTTTGTCCCAACGCTTAACAGTTACTTGATTACTCTGCCGGCTATGTGATTATGATCATCTGAACATGGACAAAGATCTAGATCCTGCTGAATTTACCACCACTGCTTTAAAAGAGCTGAAAATTTACTGCTGTCAGCGTTAACTGGTCAGGGTTATAATTACCTGCACCCACCAGTTCCTGTCCACGTCATGTTAATGTTACTGCTCAGGGCCTTAGCCTAAGGAAACCGTAAAGATTACTGACACATTGTTGCTCTTAAAAAGCATTAATGTCACATTCCACAGCCATGCTTAGAGTGATGATGCTTGGTATTGTGAAATTCAGTCATTTTTAAAGATAAGATTCTGGGAAGCTGCTGTGATATCAAGCCTGAAGAACAATTCAAGGAATGGGGTTTTTCCCAGGCTGAGCTGAAGATCAGTCGCTGGAAGGTTCTGCTACAGCCCTGCTGAGCCTGCAGGTGTTTCTCCTTCCTCAGGTATGTGGCGTCGGTGATGGAGACCTACATCATCTACCGAAACTTTGTCAAATGTCACACCACAAAGCCTCCCCCCCACGAGCTGGTCAACTTTTGGATGGAGTTGCTCCTTCAGGCCTGCAAGCCGACAGTGTGCCCCCCCTGCTGCCAGGTGAGGCCTCTGAGTGTCCCTCCACACCGTGTGTGTGTGTGTGTGTGTGTGTGTGTGTGTGTGTGTGTGTGTGTGTGTGTGTGTGAGTGGGTATAACTATCCTTATGGGCAGTTTCCTGGTCCCCATAAGGGAAAACTCTATTTTAGAAAAATCGGTGACTGCTATGAAAAAACTGAAAATGCAAAAACTCTTGTATTTTGTTAGGTTACTTATGTTTATGGTTAGGGCAGGGTAGGGGTTAAGGTTGTCATAGTTAGGGTTAGCATTTTTCCCATAGAAATGAATGAGCGGTGTGTGTGTGTGTGTCTCGGGCTTCCACAGAAGCAAACCTCAGGCAGCGGTCTGTAGCGACAGTGTTGCACAGTGATGGTGTATATGCAATTAAAATAATAATAATAAAAGCAGATGGCTGCACAGTTTTACTCCTTCAGAGATGGGATGCATGGAGGTGGTTTATATGCTTTTCAGGGCTGGAGATTAAGGCTATTAGACTGTCTTTTCTCCAGGACTTGAATGCACTGTGAGGCCTTTGGCTTTGCAACAATTATGAGGAATAAAAATACATGGAAAAAGAATGAAAGGCCCTGTAGGACAGTTGGCTTTAGTACAAGGAGTCCAGCCGGACTGAGCGTAGCTTCTCTGAAGCTCTTTGGCGGTTTGTGAGTGGAAGTTTCCATGGGAGCGAGTTCCGGACCTACCGCCTATATTCACGTCCAGCAGGTTCTCATCCTCGAACCCACAAAAGTGTTCCAGCCCAGCATGGTGAGCGTCAGCGAGGATGACGACAGCAGAACCGTTCAACTGAGGCATGTTACCACAGAGAAGGTACATTGGCACTGACACCCCATACTGAATAAGAAGTGCAGTTCACACCCCTGCCCTGGAACTGTTGTTCCTGTGAGCAGTGCCACAACTCGTTTGTTGTGATTATGGGCTGATGTGTTAGGACTCACTGCACATGATTGCTTAAAAGCCACTGGGAAAAAAAAGTGATCACCTTGATTATCACAAAACACAGAAACTATTATTCGCTCCTCAGGAATTTTTCGCTTGCGGTAGCTGCTTGCAGTTCTGCCCCAGCTGCACCCAGTCTGATGTTTCTCATGTCATGCTTTTCCCAGAAAGGTCTGCACCAGTGGACCTTCCCAGCATCTGCGATCCGGGGTGTGAGGTATGTCATGAGCGTCTATCTCCTGCGAGGGAGTGTGTCTGCATCTCTGTGTGCACACCTGCCTGCTGAAATCAACACCCCCCCCCCAATCATGTGGGTACTGCTTACCGGGAGGGGGGGGGGGGGCTCTTAGGACTCTGAGGGAGTGCAAGTAAATCAGAGTCCCTTTCCAAAATTCAGATTTCTCAAGTATTAAAACTGCATCAAGTTTGACAGGTGTACATAAACTCCTGTTTTACCCAGTAAGTCAGCCAGTCG